CTCTCAGAAAAAGAACGTTTACAGTATGACATGCACTGACTGCCAAAGGAAGTCTAAAAAGAATAACCACATTACTGGATATTTTTAGCCCTTCTTTTCATAAATGTTTTGAGTCACTGCTTTCCAAATAATTCCAAATCTTGCGAGTTAGCCAGAAGGAGGAATGGGGCAAAGAGCGCATTATTCACATATGAGAGTATATAAGATCAGTGACTACTTTTGGAAATTCAGTTAATGGAATATGCCTTTGTGGGTCCTAAGCAAACACACACAAAATTCCAAAGGACTAATACTGTGTAAGAAGGGACTATATCAAAAAAGGAGATGAAATGTGCAAATCACCTTAAAAAACAAACAAATCCGATGCCATCAAGTCCCTTCCAACTCATAGTGACCCTAAAGCAACTAAAACCACCTTGGACCAGGCAAAATGACTAATGGATATGTTTATACCCAGTAATACAAAGACTAGAAGTTGGTATAAGTAACAGCCAAAGTGTCTTTGCCCCCAGTAATCTACCTCTAAAACTTCTAACGGAAATACTGAAAAAAATAATGCGACTCATTGCTGCTGATTCTAACAATAAGACACAGAACCAAATAAACAGCCACAAAAATATTTAAACTATGAGAAGAAGAAAACACCAAGGGTGACACTTGAGGCCTGGTATAGGGCATCTCACAGGCTTGCCTTACTAAACAACCCCTCAGTAAAAAATTTTAAAACCTGTGTATGGTTTAGAAGACAATTTTAAGCTTTTCAAGACTTCTCAACTATTATACTTTAAATCAAAATCAGTGTCTCATTTCCTTACTCCCGTTAACTACCAAAGGCTCAGGAAGAAAAAGCTATGAAGCAAGACGTGCTACAGTAGATTATATAAATGATTCTAGGCCATTCTATGTGTCTTAAATGTGTCCGGTATTTACAGATAGTTTGATTTTATTGGAAAATCAGAAAATGCAAATTATGCATTACAGAACTGTCTATTATCTGTGGTCTGCTTGAAACAATAACCAGGTAGATCCTCTGAAATGGTGAATCCACAAGTAGAAATTACAAACACTTTTATGAAAATATATGCAGGATGAAAAAAAAACTCCGTTGCCGTTGAGTCAATTCCAACTCATGGCAACCCCATGTGTGCAGAGTAGAATTCCTCCATAGGGTTTTCAAAGTTGTGACCTTTCAGAGCAGATCTCCAGACCTGTCTTCTGCAGTGCTGCTGGGTAAGTTCAAACCATCAACATTTTGGTTAACAGTAGAGAACAAACCGTATGTGCCCCCCAGGACCTTATAGGTAGGATAGCAGGTTGAAATGTTAAGAAATTCCTAAATTATACATGTCCACATTTGCAAAAGGAAAATAGAATTTTAAGATTATTTTTATAGCTAAGAAAGCAACAAAAAGAAGAGTAGAATCTGTGTCAGAAGACCTGAGCTTCAGCCCTCACCCCAAGTGTGACCCTTTCCAGGGGTCACTTAACAGTGCTTCACCTTTCATTAGGTTAGTGCTTCAGAGGATTCTTTGAAGAATCATAAGATTTTTGAACAACAAAGAGCCAATTATTATCAAACTAGGAAAGTATTAATTCATTCACTAGTATTCACTGAGCTACAACTGTGTTTCAGGTACTGGTCCAGGGCCTGAGGATACAGTGACAAACATGGCATTCAAACAGCTACAAAAAGACCATATGTTCATTCACTTGACATCCATATAACGGTTTTTAACTGTTTTCTTTTTTTTTTTTAAGAGAACAGGGTACCAAAATAAGAAAGAAAAAGACAACATTTTCTTTACTTTTTTTTATTGTTAGAGACGGAAAGAAGTTGGCAGACAGAAGTTGGGATATGCTCCTTTGCCTGGCAAGAGAAGAAATTTCTCGTGCCCCCACCCTTTCTCCCCATCCTGCGTTGACCAGAAACATCTTGCTTTCTCCGGATATTTTCAAGAGTTCTAAAAACTACATTTTCCTAGCTTTTCTACCAGGTGGTACAGCACCAAAAAAATCAGTATTATCAATAAGAGCTCCTATGGCAACAACTCTCTCCATCTCTCTAGAGAAAAGATTATATGTCAGGCTTGCTTATCTTTTTCTTATAATCGGCAGCATCATAAAATGAAGATTTACCTAACCTTACGTGAAAAAATGTTCTACGTTAAGAGCGCCTTGCAGCATTAGCCCAAGAGACAGAAAGGGCCACATTAACAGAGACTGAACCACCTGAGACCGGAAGAACTAGACTGTGCCCAGCTACCACCAATGACCGCCCAACAGGGAACACAACGCAGGGTCCCTGACAGAGCAGGAGAAAAGTGGGGTGCAGAATACGAATTCTAGTAAAAAGACCAGACTTACTGGTCTGAGACAGGAGGAACCCCAGAAAGCATGGCCCCCGGACTCTCTGCCAAGCCAGCACTAAAACCATTCCCGAGGCGAACTCTTCAGACAAAGATTAGACTGGACTATGGGACATAAAATGATACTCGTGAAGAGTGTGCCTCTTTCTTAGCTCAAGCAGATACATGAGACTAAATGGGGTGCTCCTGTCCAGAGGTGAGACAAGAAGGCAGAGAGGGTTAGGAGTTGGTTGAATGGACACAGGAAATCAGGGGTGGAAAGGAGGAATGTGCTGTCAAAGCATAGGGAGAGCAATTAGGGTCACATAACAATGTATAAATTTTTGTATGAGAGACTAACTTGAATTGTAAACTTTCGCTTAAAGTACGACAATAAAATAAAAAGAGTGCCTTGCTTTTTATTTATGGTGTTTTACTTCCTTAACTCAAAAATCTTATCAGGAATTTAAAAGACTCTCTTAGTTGCTTCTTTAAATAAACCAAAATTCCCATCTAAGACTCAAAGTTTAGAATACTTTCTTCATCTGTCAAATAAGTTCTGTATCTAGGCACCTTGTATGTGTTCTGTTAAAAGGGGACATAAACGGGCAACAAAGCTTCAGAATACATGTAGTTCTCTCTTCAAGCAAAGAACTAGGTCTTACTATCCTGATTTTCAGTACATTTGAAAACAATCAGTAATGTAGACTAGTTCTAAAGGCTACATGAACAATATTATGTGAATGAGCATAATACATACGCTATATGAATATTACATAAATGAATGAGTGTAACATAGAAACACTGGAAGTGTATATACTTAGAAAAAAATCTATGTTTTTATCTTAAAGCACTGAAGGATCTCTTGCGATTCCAATCTGGATACTCTGGCCCTGTGAAGTAGCACCAGGAGAATCCAAGAACCGGCAAGTTTCTGGAGATTACTTTCCACCTCTGGAATAAACTTCAAAACTATTATAATCATTTCTGACAACTGTATGTCAAATGGTAGCAGCAACATAAAAGGAAGGAGAAAATACAGAGCAGAGAAAGGAAAGAAATAAGAGGGAGGAATGAATAGACCAAGGGGGAAAAAAAAGTGAAAAAACTACCAAAAATGCAATTCTTCTATAACCTGTTAGTTAGGGTGGCCAGGGTTGGTTTCTGGCTTCCAAACTTCACAGAGATCTCACGCCATTAGAATACACTCCACGGAAAAGAGGAGATCATTCAAAATGACTAATAAATAGTGCAGCCTTAAGCCTCAGAAAAAATAAAGACGGAAAAACTACTACACCAGAACTTCACTTTGGATTAACTGCTGTTACTGAATAAGGGCACTTGACTTCACTCTTGCCCTTCACCGTTCCCTCTCCTCCTCCTTCCAGTTTGGAATTTAAGAGGTTGAAAAGACTACAATTTCCCGAATCTTAAAAAGAAATCTGACCTCAGAAAGTGGTTAAATAAATATAAACGGTCTGGCAAGGAAACCCTGACAGATTACTACCTCCCCACCCCCTAAAACTCATGATCCAGGCCGGTGAACGATTTTTCTTGCTTCTAGTCTCCGGGACCAAGTCTGTTAGAAATGTTTGGTGCGCGCCTGCTATTTTTTAAGGGGAACAAATTTGTTCCATTACAGACTTCTCTAATCTGATGTGAGCACGGCTCGGTTGGCAGGGGTCCCTGGTGCGGCTCCCAGGGCCTGGAGGGCGCGGGTTCAAGCGCCAGACTTGCAAGTTCTGCCGAAGTGCCCGGTTTTGGGAACACCTTCCTGAAAAACACTGTCACGGTCGGCGAAACTGACCCAAGTTCCCTTCCCATCTTTTCCCAAGTCATGCTTCCCACGGCATGCTTCCTCCAAAAAAGGAAGAAACCGGCCTAAAGCTCAGCTCGAGAGCTAATACTTACCTAGCACCAGAACTTGTTTGCAAAACATTCTAGGCACCTATAAACTTGACTTCACAGGGAACCCACAACCATGACTCCCGCAACCTACATTTATTGTGCGTCTACTGTCGTCAGGCCCCGCGCTTCCCTCGGCTTCCCTCAAAGCGCCTGGACCAGGAAGGTGGGAGCGGCCAGGTCACCGCGACCACCCCCAGCTGTTACCTGGTTCCCCCGCCCCCGTCCCCGTCCCCCCCCGGCACTCAGAGGGCCATTGGTCACTGAGAAGACCGACTGTAGGGGCTGGTACGCCGACCAACCGGTTATCCACTGGGGTACGAAGGGCGTTCCCCGGACGCCGAGGAAACGCCAGGAGTGGCCCGGGGACGCATAACCGCTCTCGGAACTGCTCCCCCGCAGCCGGCTCACCCCACTGGCTCCACTGGGAGGGCGGCGGCCTCGGGCAACCCCCAGGCGAAGCCGCAGAGGCCATCTGGCGCGGAAGGCAAGAGCGGGCGCCTCAGCCTCCGCGTTCTTCCTCCTCCTTTACTCGCCCAGGGTGCCCACTGGGAGCACCCCAACGCCCACATGCACAACCTCAAGGCACATCCCCGGGATCCAAGGAGGCAGCAGCCACTTCTCGGAAGCCTCCTCCTAGCCGGCAAGTATCCTTCGCGCGACCCCACGGAGCCACGTGGAGTCGGGGAACCGGGATAGCGGGACCCCCGGAAGCGATGGGGCACGGGTCACTCCGCGCGCACCACTCACTTGCTGACCGCCGCGGGGCTTGCCCTGGGGCGCTCTCCTGAAGAACGAGGTCCTGGCGGTGAAGAAGAAGTCCTCGGCGTCCTCCTCCAGGCTGCTGTAGCCGCTGCTCATGCTGCTGGTCCCGTCGCGCACTGGCAGCCTCCCCGGGCGCAGGCGGCCAAGCAGG